TTCTTTTAGGCTCGTGATTTCTCAAGTTAATCATAAATAATTTTGCGTACAGAAATAAAACAAAACAGTATGGACTTTTTAAAAATGTAAAATGTGATAATGTTTACAATATATTAAAAACAGGGGTGATTGAGAAGGGTACAGAGATGCAGGCTGTGAGGAACCACTCCTAATTCCAAGAGCCTGCAGAAATGAATCCTTCCTGTCTCTCAAGGATGTGGATGTCCTATCTCAGAACAACTTTAATGGAAACATTACCATCATGTGGTTGGCATGTTGGCCCCCTTGCACGCCACCATTGTATACTATACTGATCTCTCAGTACATGGTGATACTCTGGGAATAAATGTCTCTCCCTTCCCAGTCACTTAATGGGTAACTAAGAAATCTAAAATCACTTTGGTAATAGCGTAAGGCAACTATTAAGGTGGTAACTCAGGGCAAGAACTGTTTGGTGAATTATCAAGTTAAGTAAAGATTAGCTATACATTAATCTCTCATTTAGAAGAGTAATTCTCTACCCTAGTATATGCAAAACAATTTCTGGTAATAAATACTTTGTAGTGCTTCCTTTACTATTCTGGAATGAAAACTACAGATAATGCTACCTTCTTACACTTTTAACTTTTTCCAAAACAAAAATTGATATGCCCTGAGTATAAAAGATAAACTAAAGGAATGTTTAATGAAAATAATATTGATTTCTCTGCGTGAATGCTGGAGTATATCTTAGGAGACATAATGAAGTTGCTGGAGGTTTTCAGTCATTTGTGGAACCACTCAGAATGGAATCGTCCCAAGTGCACACCCACATAGGTGTGTTGTGTGTGATGCTCAAAGACCCTGAATAATGTAGCTGTTATTGACGTGGTTTTCCAAGATGACAACCAACTCTTAGTAAGCTCTAAACAAAACAATTACATCTCTCCCTCAATATACCCAGTTATTGTATCCCTAGAAATTGTACTTTTAAAACCATGCAAAGCAAATGTATTTATATGTAAAATGGAGATACATTCACTTCAGAAGTTATAAACAGATTTGTGCTGATACAATGATCCATTGGAACCTTCAGAATCAAGTGGAATGCAAGACAGTGTTCCATTTGAAGGCATGGTTCCACACATGACAGACGGTCTAAGAGACCAGGTCCCTGCCTATAATGCCATAGGTGCCTGCATTCATCAGGCACAGAATCACAGATGTTCCCACAAATTTCCAACCTTTTCTTAGGTGGAAGTACTGCCTTTGCTGAGCACCACCAGTTTGCAATGCTTTTTAGAGGGCTTCCCTCATTGACTGAGATAATTAAGAGTTGATTCTTGTTGTGAAACCAAAGATACAATAGAGGAACTTAAAGCTTATCTAGTTGACCACTTCAGTTGACCCATGTGAGGGTAAATACCTAACCATGGGTATTCAGTTACTAAGATAAAAACCAAGGTTGCCCTTCCCATAGCTTTTCTTACTGAAAATGAGGAAATGTACCTCTCTTGCATACCAGATATTTTGAAATACTTGGATGATTGAAATATTAGATAATTTGAAATACTAGAATAATTGACAAAATATTTCAGTTTTTTTCCAGAATATTCTGGCTTGTAAACACTTACTTTTCACCACTGTGTGATTGCCAAGTTAGATAATCTCTAATGTTCACAAAATGCCTGGATTCCTGAATTTGAATAAATCAGAAAGATTTTTTTAAAAATACTAGAAGATCTCTTGCAGTGTATCCAAAAGAATGGTTTAGCAGAACAGAAATTTCTCTTAAATGGTTACTGGCTGATTGATTTTCTCACTGTTTTCCACAAACTACAGTCATCAGGATACCAGCAGGACCTTAGGAAATGAATGACTGAAATTCCAAAGACTCCTGAGGCCATGATTAGCCAGGGCCTCTTCCTTTGGCTCAAAACAGCAGGGGCTGGTTGCTTCACAGCCCTAATAAAGACTTGACTTGTCACTAATTACACCTGGCAAGCAGGTTCTAGTAGTGAATTAGTTAGTTTTGCATTTAATTGGGAAGATCAGATATTCTGTAAAGAACGTTTGATTGTACAAACTCCACAACACTCACAAGCTCTCCAAATTAAATTTGGAGTCAAATTGATGCCTGTTTCAAATGCACTGCTTGGGAAAATTCTATTTATAATCCTTGCATATTATCAAGGTATACAAATTTGTGTATAAAATAAGCTTATGAGATTCAGGAATTATTGGATAAACCTGTGGATCCTACAGCCAAGAGCAATTAGTTATTTCCTAATCCCTTCCTCTCAGTAGCTAACTAAATGCAGATTAAACTCTCAAGAACTCCAAAGCAAACATGAAAGCCCTCCATAAAAATATCACCAGGTCCTCAAACTTTAATGTGTGCCCGCTCTGTACTCTCCTCGTGGGCGACTTCTCCCGGTCTTCCTGCAGAGACCGTTTCCTCTTAATTTTAGACTCACTCTGATGGTATAAACATCCAGTGTTGGAAGCAGCAATTTAGAAAAGAGATGGTCTGACCATTCAAGGTAAGGACCATGAAAACAAGTAGCAACTGCCTGCCTAACATCAAGGACAGGACAGAAAAATATTTTACAAAATTTGGGAAGGAGGGCTGAAATGAAAATTAAAATAGCAGCCTGGGCCATTTAATGTGGATAAAGGCTTTCATTATCTCCAAGAGCATCTCCATAACACCAGACAACGTAGTGAATGATATGAAAGAAGAGTTGAATCATACAAAAGTGTGATTCAATCTAACAGAATCCTAGGAGCACAAGAGTTAGGAGATCCTTAAGGGAGCACTTATATTTACGACTAAGGAAACTGAATATGAAGCGGTGTTCTGAGACAGGAGCGCAGCCTAACAGGTGCAGGGCTCCTTACAGAGACATCTTCACAACTGGAGCAACTGTGAGGAACCACCACACTTACTGGGCCACTGCTTTTGATGTCTCTGTTTTTGCTTGTTTGCATTGATATCACTCCTTTCTAAAGGAAAAGAAATCTGTTCTCTTTATTCACTAAAGAGTGAACTATTGTTTCCTGGTTTGTGATGAGAGAACCTCAGAGTTGGCCCTTAACAAAACTGTGACCGAAGGTAAAGTTTACTGTGAGTTCCTCCTAATCCTCCTGCACCCACTCCTGGTGTATTTCCTGCAGGCGCTTATGTCGGTCTCCAGCAGGCTGCCCCAACCACTGGCCCCACCGCAGAGATCCCAGCCATAATAAAAAACTGCCAACTCCCAGAATTTTGGTGTAATCTCAAGCTTTCTAATTTGATCTCTAATCCTATCAAATAATGAAGCAATATTCTCATGGTTTTTTTTTTTAATATAAGCAAGCACAAGCATTACCTGGAGAGCTTGTTAAAATACGTTTCCCCAGAAATTAGAATTCAGCGGATGATTCTAGCAGAAATGGACCCCAAGCCCTATCTTCAAAAACACTTTTTTCTTAACTGTTCAACCTGGTCTCCTCCTGAGACCCCATGAACATATCTCCTCCACCCCAATATTTCATCCTGTCTTCCCTCCATGTCTTTGCTTCATGCTCTACCTTCTTTATCCAATTAATTCTTCTGTGTCCCTCAAAACCAGCTGGGGGCATGTCTCACATCTCTTTCTCATTATTCCCATAGCTCTTGCAGGGTTAAGCTTATCAGGCCTCCCACGTGTGCGGATCCCCTGGCATAGCTCTCTTAAAGGTAGAGACATGCGTCACGTGTCTTATCCTGTTCCCAGCATTTAGCGCTCTGTCACACACTCCAAAAGTGCTTATTAAATTATCTTTTGCATATGCTAAGTTTACTTATTAATAACTTATGTCTGCATCTTTACCTACCTACTTGAAACAAGAAAGAATCTTCACAGCTTGCTACAACCATCACTCTCAAATTGAAGAGCATCTTCTATAACCTGTAAAAACAGAAATAGAAGAATGTTGCTTCACAGTATGACCCTGGGCCACAGCGGAGGTCACACAGAATCAGGCCCATGTGTGCTCAGGATATCCACAACCACCCAACAGATTCCACACAACAAATGAGAACTTTTCTAAATAAAGCTCAAGTTCTTGTAGTTCAGGAAAACTAGCTCTGATTGCCTTCCCAGCATTAAGATTAAAAGGCTTTGGGGAAATACAGTTGGAAGTGATTGGAGTTAGGTTTGAGTTGATTCATGTATAGTCACATGCCACATAATGATGTTTTTGTTCAGTGAGATGACAAATATGTGACCACGGTTCCTTAATACTATAATGGAGCTAAATATTCCAACATACCAGTGCCTAATGTGGTTGTGTTTAGAGTATAGCATGTTACTCGGACGTTTGCAGCAATGCTGATATAAATACACCAGCTGCACTCCCATTAGTATAAATACACAGCACAAAGGATTATACACAGTACATAATCATCTATAGGGATAACAAATTGTGTCACCAGCTTATGTATTTATCATGCTATACCAGTTGTAGGTATTTTAGAATGCGCTCCTTCTGCTTATTAAAAAAAAAGGCTGCTGTGAAATAGTTGGGTTGGCACCAGCCACGTCCACCTCAGGTTTATGTCTGGCTGCATTTCTTGCTTAAGTCACTTTCCCTTGTGTTTGTTTTGTTCATCATGAGCCTGGGAGCAAGAGGCTGTGTCAAATACAGCTCAGCTGTGTAGCGGCTATTCCTTCTAGGTGTGTGCAGTACACTCTTTAATGCTCACACAGTGACAAAAATGTTCAACATGTTTCTCAGAGTGCAATTCCATCGTTAAATGACATGTGACTGTATGTAAAACTCTGCATGCTTAGTGCCAAGGATACAGCCCAATGGCACAACCATCTGCCTGGCAAGCACAAGGTCCTGAGTTTGATTTCTGACACCAAAAGATAAAAAATAATAATCTTTGTGTATTTACTCTAAGAGCTCAGAAATATCCAATATTTTCTTCCTAAGACTGTTACTTACCAAGAATCTCTTATAATCCACCATTTATGTGTGTTTGTCCCCTGCAGGAGTGTGCTATGCAGAGTTTGGAGTCCGAGTCCCCAAGACCACAGGATCTGCCTACACCTACAGCTATGTCACTGTTGGGGAATTTGTGGCATTTTTCATCGGCTGGAACCTGATCCTGGAGTACCTGATTGGCACTGCAGCTGGGGCCAGTGCTCTGAGCAGCATGTTTGACTCACTGGCAAACCACACCATCAGCCGCTGGATGGTGGACAGCGTGGGGACCCTCAATGGCCTGGGTGAGACTGCTACACCCTCTCCTCTCCATGCAAACTCACTGAGCCAAATAAATGGGCTCACCTGAAAAACTCCAAAATGCCAAGAACCTTGAGTGATGCTTTTTGGTCTTTGCAATGTAATTTTTCATCCTGAGGAAATTATTCTAATTTCCACAGAAGCATCACACAAATGTTATTCACCACACACTCAACACAACCTTATTTAACCCAAATCCTGGGACAGTATGAAAAGTATGAAAACCACCCCTATTCAGTATACCGATTTCATAAAATGGCCCCCAATTAGGTGTCCATCACCTTAACTTTACAGATAAAATCCAAAGCCACGAGGAAACATATCGAAAGCCACCCTGCTGGCTATGGGGAAAAGTACAGCAGAAATTCAGTTTCCCTTGACGGATGTGGCAATGCCTTTTCCACCCTATAGAGGGCAGGATTCCACTGACCAAGGGGCAAGACCAAGCAAGCAGGACCTGCTCACCAGTCATTTACTAAGGGCATCCACATGCACAAAAATGAAGAGAAAATCCCTCTTACAACGGTTTTCAAAGACATACATTTTACAATCGGTAAAAATGAAACTTTTTGGAATTTAATGGAAGTTTTACAAACCATGAAATTAACAATATTGAAGGTAAAACCAGAACATGTTGGACCTATGTATATACCCTGAAGAGCCCAGAATAGTCCAGTCTTCAAATGCTGTGTACCGAGTTCCCATAGATGCTGTTGTAACTGTCACATTATATATCTCAGTGTTTGGCCCAGAATACCAAATCCTTTTACTTATTGACCAAACCACCTGTTTGCAAATGTGTGTATGCATAGGCATGTACAGACACACACACAGGCACGCACGCATGCACAGAGTTTTGTGACCTGTCTGACAGATTGACCACTGCTCTAAGGGTCGATCTGAGACTGAGAGCAGATATACTGAGATAGAATCAGGAGTTTGCCTGCCCTCTCTTCCCACTGAACAGTACTAAACCGTGTCCTCTTCCTCTAGGGAAAGGTGAAGAATCATACCCAGACCTTCTGGCTCTGCTGATTGCGATCATTGTAACTGTCATCGTTGCTCTGGGGGTGAAGAACTCTGTGGGTTTCAACAACGTCCTCAACGTGCTGAACCTGGCAGTGTGGGTGTTCATCATGATTGCAGGCCTCTTCTTCATCAATGGGAAATACTGGGCTGAAGGCCAGTTCTTGCCCCATGGCTGGTCCGGGGTGAGTGCCTCTTAAAGCCTGGTATACCTGTCACCACTGTGTCTTCCACCCTGCCACCACTGGACACCAAGTTTTAGGTGCCTGCTCTGTTTCATAATCTTCATGGCCCCTCTTGACCATTTGAATCTGGATTTAACTGAAGAAAAGGTTCTCATTTTTTTAATTTACTTGTTTCCCAAGCATTTGTTGAAATCTTATTTTATCTGAAATAGTAATTGATTCCATGTTGTAACCCCTTGCAGTATCTCGCACTTTACACATAAAATCTAAATAACTCAATATGAATTATCTTAGGAGAAAAATATTTACATTTATTTCTTAAAGATGAAAAAACTCAAATTCGGAAAGGTCAAATGAGTTACCATTAAGCACGAACTGTAAGTGGCAGGATAGGGATCCAAAGCCAAATCTGTTGCATTCCAAAACCCATACAAGAACAGCTCGATTTCACGGAATTTCTTTGTACTCTATGGAGAATCTGGCATGTACATAAATAGACAAAGCAGTGCAGGAGGGAGGAGGGAGGAGCCAGCGAGAGGAGGGGTATGAAACCAGAGGAGAAGCGGTTTTTAAATCGGTGCATTTAACCTTAGGAGGAGAATCTAGCAGGGGTCTGAGGGCAGCTGAGCAGACTGACTGAGTGATGGTTATCTATTCCAGGCCTCTTTCACAGCACACAAGGCTGCTTAATTCAGTCTGGCACTTGGCAAGAGAGTGTCCTGGAGCTAAAGAACGTTTTCAGATCTTATCCCTGTCATCTGGTGGTATGGATTATGGATTATGCTAATGCAAAAGGGTGCCAGGCATGAAGGTACAGGCCTGTAAAGCTAGGAGGCAGAGGCAGAGGCAGAGGCAGAGGCAGAGGCAGGAGGATCACATGTTTGAGGTCATCCTAACCAACGGAGACTTGTCTCAAGATAAAGTTGGAGTGGGGTGAGAGAGCCAGGGGCATACACAGTTCACGGTAGAAGCACAGACCCAGCACAAACGAGCCCTGGGTTCAGTCCTCGGCACCACAGAGAGCAAGAAGAAGGGGCAGGTCAGAGAGGCAAATTCTTCATATTTACAAGTGGCTCAAAGTCGTGCCTGGTTTATTTCTCTGCTATGAGTAAAAATGCTTACTTTATGGGTTTATCAGTAAAAATCACCAGCCCTTTTTTGTGACAGTACTGCATAACTTAGAGAATTTTCAGCTGGCAGGGATCTGAGAGGTCCCTGGTCCTGTCCTCTCCTTCAACAAATGAGTGAATCGCCAGAGGCCTAACACTGGGGCGGAAGGGAAACAAAGGACTCTGCTTGTTTTGCTTTTGTGGTTTTTGCTTAGACTGATTTTCCTCCAAGATATCCACAGATCAGAAATCTCTCTTGGAGAACACTCAAAATAACATGCTTATTCTGAGCCATGTCAATGTAAAGAAATAAGCAAAGAAGCTAAAATTCTCGCCTTTTTTGCTCACCCAAAAGAATTCCAAAGACCCACAAAGTTCATTCCTGTCCTCCAAAATGAGTATGTACTGAAACTGGTTAGAGGCAGAAGAGACAAAGAAGCACTGTTGGTCCCATTCTGGATCCCCATATCTACATCCTCTTAGGATACAAATTGTTCCTTCCCTATCACATAAGAGAAGCAACAAATTATAGGAGTGAGAAGAAAGAATGTTTCCTTGGAACTCAACTGCATTTTTATTGTAGCACATGAAAATATTCTCAGTGTTTTCTCAACAGTGTAAGAAATTATTGGGTCATGGACTTACTGTAAGACTTTGGGCATCAGTTGATTTCCATCTTTCAGGCTTTTCCATCTATTAAGTGGGGAAGCAAACTGCACAAAATGTTTGCCCAAAAAACCCACAAAACCTTGGCTGTTTTATGTGCACATTGTTGGAGTTAGCATAGTTACAACGTCAAGAAGGGGCTAGTAGGTCTCTCTGCATATTATCCCACTTTTAAAGCAGACCTTTAAAGTAGATGATGTTGTCCCTGGCGTAAAAATAGAGACTGCAGGGGTCAGAGAGGCTGGGTAACCTCCAGACCTCGCATAGCCAGTCAATGCTGTGACTGAAGATCTTGGGACACCAATACCCTTGCTCCTTTATTCAGCATTTCTTGTACGATCTGATGACCCCTTCCTTTTAAGCCTTCTTAAACATACGTAGTTCATTTAACATGTTATGTTTCCTTTAAACTTTCACAAAATCTTAGACTGTAAAGCTAGGAAGAACATTAAAAGATAATATAGGTCTTTTCTCATCTTCTGATTAAACCAACCCAGGCTGAGCTGCTTATGGAGACATCTTGTCAGAGCAATTATTTAATTATTTGTGAATTTATCCTGTTCATATTTAACCTTCAAAATCCTCCTAATGGCTCCGCCTATAATTTAGTTCCCAAAAGGACTAGAAAAAGTTAGCATCTTCTGGATAAATGCCTTTCCCAAAGTCTGAAGAGGATGAACAAGCCATTGGGCTTGTCTTTCACCTGGTGTGTTTTGGGGGTCTTTATTTTCTCAGGAAGTTTGCTCCTCCTTTCTCAACCAGCAAGGAAAGAGTAGCCAAGCCAGCCTTAGCGGCTGGCCATTTATGCATGCTGGATTCCCACTAACTTTGGAATGAAAGATTAGAATTCAACCATAAAAAAGAAAACATTTTAACATTTTCTTGTGATAGACTCTTTCATATACATTTTTATTCATCTACACAAGAACCCTGCAAAGTAAGTACAAAGATCTTTACTTTTACACTGAAATACAAGTTCAACTTTTGCGTCATTCTGACTTTGGGGAAGATGCAGAAGTTGCATCATGCCAGATCTGGTCAATAAGGTGGATAAAAGCACACTGTAATATTTTTATGGGCTTGATTTCTTATTGAATAGCACACGGTGTATATCACTGTATCAATATATTTTTTTAAGTCACACCCTTATGAATGATGGGTTATTTGAAGAAAGAGAGTGTTTTTGAGGGAGATTGATGACAATGTGTCTTTTACTGTAATAAATTTTTTGAAATTTTAGCATTCACTATATAGTTTTATCACCCCTTGTTATTGATGTTTAAAAAAATTTAAGATCACAGCTCTAGATGGAAAGCAACAACTAAAATTTGATCCTGACCCTGATGACCCAGAATTTGTGTTTACCCCCTTTACCCCTCACATTTGAACCCGAGGGACCAGTTATCAATTGTTTGTCTGCTTGTTTGCTTGCTTGTTTATTTGTTTGTTTTTGCACCTTTGGCCTCTGGTCTCACTCCAAACCCCATCTATCATGAGTGATTTTTGTCCTTGCCTATGAAACAAACATGGCTAAGATTTTGGATTTCCAGTAAAATCCATTATTCTGAAAGAAACTCAACTGTGTGTCCTGGTGGCTGTGATGGAAAGTATACTCTGAGAACCAAGGACAGCCCCGTGTGATGCTGATTCATCCTCCTGCTCTCTGCCTGGCCTTGGATTTCTGCATAACGTATTTCCTCCAGAGAAAGCACCTCCAGAGAAAGACCTCTTCTTTCTCAGCTTTGGTTCCAGGTCACTTTTCCAGTCCAGCAAGGCCATTGTGGATTTAAATCCTGTTTTTTAAAGTCTCATGAGCATTACTGGGGCAATAAACGCATTTCCCACTTTTACCTAACAAATGTCAACAAAAGCATGCTCCTGCTTGGCAGCTGCATGGACTTCTTCACTCCTTAGGGAAACTCTGACCCCTACTGCTGACTAAGGGACTAGGATAGGTTCCAATCCAATCTGTTTTCCAATCACTTAAGATAGGACAGGATATGGAAAGCCATAGTGTAGGGCATTGTTTATAAGGATGCCTTTATATAATGCTAAGCATAATTCTCAACTGCAGGACTTCAAAATGGTTAATGAACAGTCTTCCAGCAATGGAGCCCTCACAAATCTACTCTTTCCCCTGCTCCAGCCATTTCTTTCCAAAGAAAATAGCTTAAAGAATGGTTTACTCACTTACAGGTTCTGGGTCAAATGCTTCTTTAGTCTTGAAGAGCTTAAGAACAACAAACATTTCCCCCGATATCAAGTAACTGCGGCCCTCGGCTGAACCCCTGCTTCCATCTGTGACTCCTCAGCCCCTGAGCACTGTTGGATGTGTGTGCCCTTTATGTTATTTGTTCTTGATGCTATCTTAGGGTTCTTCTTTAACCAAATTAAGACACTCTAGTGCGCAAATAGCTCCCAGGAAAACAATCCAAACAAGCATTTTTGAAAATTCTGACAATCTCCAAGCAAAGGAAAAGTTGTTTTTCATGTTCCTCGCATCTGACTCCATTTGTTGGAACCGATTAGCACATTCCACTGTCGCTGTGGACAGGCTGCTAATAGAGATGGAGTAACAGGGTAGTTTGCAAATGCTGTTAAAGTTGGAGATTTGTCTTTTTAACTTGGAATTGAATTATGTAAAAGTACCTAATTATCTCCGAGGCATCTGGCAGGCTGGCCAAGTGAGAATGCAGGAGGGCTGCCTCACCCTAATGCTTCTCAAATATCAGCAAGGCCCTGGAGCCACTATTTAGAGACCACACACACTGATTAGCAGGCCACTAATGGCACTACTTTTGACAAGTAAGTATCCAGCAGCCCTCCAGTAACTGAGGCATGATCTGTTCTTCCATAAAACTTTTAGCGGGACAGACCTTTCTGTAACACAATGTTTACTTTAGGGAATGATGTTAGCATTGCTATCATATTTAAAACTCAGTACTATTTTAAGTATGTAAAATGACAAAAGAAAGAGTTAGGCTAGCTTACCAGTAAACCCAGAACATGCACACATCTCCATATAAGCACATATGGGTACACACAAGCACGCATACATACACACACAGGCACACACATCTTACCTTTCAATTTGACTCACAGATACTCATCTCTAAGAACTATACACACCCTTTAATACATGTAACAGAATCCTAACCCTAAATACTAGTAACAGATCTGAGACCTGGAGACAGTGGCGTGGAAGATGGAAGACAGTGAGCGCTTATTTGAGTAGGACAAATACAGTTCCTGTCCATGATTCTTCTGCATTTACTATTTGTTACAGTAAGGAATAAAATTCATTCGAATTAACCCAGGCACAAAGGTTCTCTCTCTTGCTAACTTTGCCTTCTCTTGTCAGTCTGGGATGTGCTTGCGGTTGGTAGGTGGTCTTCTGTCCCCACTGTCTTCTCCATCCAGCTCCAATGCTCTGGGCTGCTGTTGCTTCTGGTTGGGTGTAGCCAATGGAAATCCTGCTCAGGCAGTCAGAAGATGAGAAGTAGCAAAGCTGGACGACTTCTCCCTTCCTCTCTGCCAGTCCTGGCACTACACTGGTCATTGCTCCTACAGGGCATCTCTGCTCCATCTCTGCAGCTCTTGCTGGACCCCAAGATCACCATTCTGCCCCAGCTCCTTGGCAGAAAGATGACATCGATTTGTCACTGTCTCAGCATCCCAGTTGACTCCCTCACCCTGCTAATACACTGGCTGATACCTGTCTATAGACCCCTCATGGACCTCATTTCATTTGAATCATCTGAGTTAAATGCTGTTCATTGCCTGTGCAACAGGACCTCTGGATGTCCTATCTGTGACTATGCAGTCTTCCTTCAAAGATAGTTGCTTCCTGGTTCTGCATATGCAAATTCAGGCTAGCATGAATCCTTTTTACAAACTTAGTGCTCCTTTTGCCAGCTTGATCATAGTTAATTTTCTGGTATCTATTTATTATCAATAATTATCAATCCTTTGTTTCATTTATTTGGAAAACAGAAACACTTGTGCCTTGCAAATGATGTAGATACTCTACCTATAAATTTGGTTCAGTTTGTTACCATAGTCAGTGCTGCACTTGGGGTCTTGTAGTATTTTTCCAAACTCTAAGCCCCACAAGGTCAAACTCAGAGTGCTTTGCTGTTCATGACTGTCTCCCCATGACAAAGTACAATGCCTGCAAAGTAATATTTATGTGTCAAGCTCTAAATGAAAGGCAGAAGAGCACAGGAAGAGGAAAAATAAGTAGAGCATGGGGAGGAGAAGGAGTTTGTACCTTGGGTTTCATCTCCTCTAGAAAATGTATTAATAGCCATTATAAAATACAGGTTAAAGCTAATATTTGTCGAGCATCTATTGCATTCAGGGATTGCAGTTTACTATATCATCTCACTTAATCCTTTTAACAACTCCATGAGCCAAGTGCTATTATTATCTCCATCTTAGTGATAAAGAAACCTAAGCTCTAAGAGATTAGGAACTTGTTCTAGCTTACCAAGCTAATACATGGCAGAACGAGCCCCAGTTTTTGACTGTCTACAAAGGATGGATGATGCCAGGATCACCTCTGCCCCATGACCCTCCCAGTACTTCAGACATTTGAAGGTACCTTCAGCTGAGTCTTCTGCTCTTCAGATTAGATTACCTCGGGTCACCTATTATTCCTCACATCATATGGATCACAGACATCTCACCCTTTTCAAAAATAGATTTTCCCCCAATCTGCCTGTTCGTTTTACCAGGTCACTCCATGATATGGGGTATGGGTGTGAGGCGGGGGGCTGTGTCTGTGTGGTAGAGAAGAGAAATAGTAAAGGCTGAGAACACAGGTTTGCTTTCTGGAAGTGCCTTAGAGCCAGACCGCCCTTGATCAGCCTGCCACAAGGCAGCATGTAATTCATACATGTCAGGTCCTAAATGGAGCTCAGTGATCTTGGAATCCCAGCATCTGCTCCTCTTTGAAGATCACTGACGAGTAAAACAAGCACATTTCTAAGCCTATGAATCTCTTTCTATGACAAAGTGAGGTCTGTTTTCTTTCCTTCTCTGGATGCCAAAGACACTTTCCACAGCTGGATACAAAGGGCTTTCCCAGAAGGGAAGTAGGGGCCCCACTGTTCCCCCAGAAAGTAGCCCTTAGGAGGTGGAGCTGCTCATGTTAGAGAAGCTCTTTCCACCTGAGGCTTAATCTGTTTGTGCCACCGACTCCTCTCCAACCTGATGAAGCTTACAGATCCCTCATGGCCCTGTGACATAATAATGTAGTTCTGTATTAGTACTTTATCGTTATCTATGTCTAGTAACTGTGATGATTTTGAAGTAGTGGTATTAATAATGAAAAGAACTGCTAACTTTCCATTAGACATTACTGAAAATAAAAATGTAATTATTTTCCAGAAAAAGTCACAGACATGCCCCCCTCAATGCTATTGACCCAGGATAAGAAACCCCAGGTTAGGGGACTGAAACATCAGAATCTCAGCCAGGAGGGACCTTACAGGCGACCAATTCATTTTACAGATGAGCAAATGTTGCTGCTTGAAGATTTGGTAAGATCTTCAGTTTGTGATACATCTTGTAGGTTCTAGAGTATAGTATTTTGAGATTTCTTTGTGGAGAAATCAGTGGGGAAAGTACAACTGAAATTTTTGGACAAGTATCTGCTTGGCACAAGCTTTGAACACACTTACTTATAAAGTGACTATAGGGTAAAGGGGGGAAATACCTACAATGGCCCTTACGTCCTGGGCTCCTAGAGAGCTTATAGTCCTCTACCCAGTACACAGTGTCCTTTCTTACAAAGACATCCCCACGCATTTAAAGAGACACATTTTGCTTTCAGTTCATGACAATACCAAAGTGAAGACTCAGTTGAACTTCAATAGATTCTTCAGAAGAAATCCCCACACTACACAGTGAGAGATTTTCACTGTCATCTGGACATGAAGACCCAACCCCCTAGGAGCCACACAGGCTCCCGGCAGACACACATTCAGCAGATGTTACTGGGTGCCACCTCTCCAGCTTTACTCTCGATGTCTGCCTCATGCTCCACGGGGTCATTCCAAACCTTAAAAGGAGCAAAGCCCCTAACTCTGTCTCTACTCTGTCTGTCTTCCAAAGGAAATAACGTATCTAAAGATCTGAAATATTTTCTCTCATTTCAGATCTGGAAGGTACCACAGAGGTGATCTCTCAGAGGCACTAACATAAACTTTGGCAGAACTATTCTTCTTTAAGCAGATGCATCTAAATACCAGGAGCTCCAGGCTGTGTCTCCATGGCAGTCAAAAGTATCTCCACACTTTTCCAAGTTTCCCTTAAGCAAGTCATAAAGTCTGTGGTTGTGTTTGAGAAAGCTTGAGGTTGTGTTGGGTGAAAACAAAGTGCAAGAAGGTTCATGAGTTCCCTAAGACAGAGATGGCCAACTATTGGTTTGTTTATACTCCAACTATTTCAAGAGAGAGAGAGATGAATGTGTTGAATGACCCAGTTTTTATTTGGTCATAAAATTTCTTATCTCCATTTCACACAAGAGGCAATTGCCCAGGCTCACACAGCTGGAAAGTAGTGATGAGCCCTTGGGTGTTGAGCACTAATTCTGCCGCTCTATCCCTTCTGCCACTCAATGTCCACGGGCAATGAGCAGTCATGGTGTCACACCGAAGGCCCTGTGCTGCTCTGGCCTTCTGAGCCTGATAAGTGCCATCATCCATGCAGGTGCTGCAAGGAGCAGCTACATGTTTCTACGCTTTCATTGGCTTTGATATCATTGCCACCACCGGGGAAGAAGCCAAGAATCCTAACACGTCCATACCATATGCTATCACCGCCTCGCTGGTCATCTGCCTGACAGCATATGTATCTGTAAGTACCATATGTTGAAGGGGCTCTTCCCATATTCTTTCTATATCTGATCTTAAAATATGGTTCTAGGACTGTGTCTCCTCCTCGGAGGGGAAGCAGGACTTTTCTTGTGCCTTTTTAGTTTCTGTACGATTGCATCTGGTCCCCAGTAGCCCCACCCATCAATGATAAGAGAAACACATAACTCCGAACTGGAAATTCAATCTCAAGTTCTGAATCTCCATCCTTGCCTCTCCCTGTGCCCAGACTCTGGCTGTGGGCTGCTGCCTCAGGGGATGGTGAACAGGGATGGGCTCTGGTCCAAGGAGCTCAGGTCATAGGCTGGCAGTAACGGGTGGCCTGCAAGCAGAGGCATTGTGGCCTCTGCACACAGCCCTCAATGCTCCTCTGTCTTCGGGGAGCTTCCCAGCAGTGAAGAGGCGAGGCTCCCAGAGTGCACAGAGGGAATACATTGTCATCCGGAGACTCTCTTTTCCCTTAAAATCTCGGGGCAAATGCACTTTCTTTCCACGTTGCTCTGACTTTTCACACCAGCACAAACTCATCACTGGGGTTTCCCTGCCTCAGGCAGCCCTCAGAATGAAGCCTTCAGCTTTTTCTCCTCAGGATCCCCTGAGATGCTGCTCCACACACCTTTGATGCTTCGTTGCTCAGCTCCCATGCCAGAATTTCTACGGTAGAAATAGCTCAGCCACATCCAACACCAAATCAGCCCCTGGCAATACAGAGAACCAGATGACGAGTACACGCGTGCGTGCACACACACACATAGGTCTGAAAGGCCCTACCCACTTGGGTCGCCACAATTAGAAAGAGCTAACAGCATGCCGCCCTGCCATTCCTCTTCCCCAAACAATCTTCCTCAGCAGTTAACTATGGAAGTCAGACCAACTATCATTCAGGGAAGCTGCAAAGCAGAATTGTTCTGGAAACAAAACAAAAACACCAGAGAATAACCTCAGCAGTGATTGATAGAAACTCAGTTGCACACCCACACATTTTATGGTGGGGCCAATTATCACCTCTATGTGCGCACACATGCACGGGCTTCATATCCTGTCTCTGTCCTGATTCCCCTGCCGGTGGAGTGTGGAGGGAAGGATGGCAGGGCAGGAGGAGCAGCAGCGGCAGGGCTCTGCATTTCTCTCTCCTCCCCTTCCCACAGAGGAGGGCTTTGCAGCGCGTGCATGCATGTGCAAGCGCGTGTACACACACAAAAGAAATGAAGGCTGTCCTCATCATCATCTAAGGCCTTCCTTAGAGGAGTACTTTTGAGACTACAGTGAACTCTTGTCTACCAACTTTTTATGCGACCTGGTCTGGCTGGCAGCAGACTCACTGTGGTTTACTGGAGTCATCAGTCACACTCTCCTCCAGGCTAGCCCATCCCACCCCTAGAGGAGATGTCACAGGTGCTTTGTACCTGGGAAATGGTCTCTTTTGGACTACATGAACCTTAACTGTGCCTCAGGAACTGTTTGGTCTTGTCCTGCTCATCAGTAAATCACCGTAACCCAGTGAAAAGAACCAAATTGCTGGGTTGCTATGGTAAACACTGCTATCTTCCCTAGGGGCCTAGGGTTTCCCTGGGGGAACCTTAGCTCCCAAAGCACAGGCAAAGAAGTGGTTTACATATGACCTCCCTTTTCTTGTCAGAGTTTTAACTCTCTCCTTTATGCCAGGATTGGTCTTCACAGGCCTGGGAAAGTTCACATCACTGGTTGCTCCACTTTCTGAGCTAACTCTGGAGAGGTGAATGTTAAAGGTCTATGAAGCAAGACAGGTCCTGAAGGGCCCAAGTCAAGAGTTCCCTGGTTCAGCAAAGCGTTGGTGATCTTACAGCCTTAGAGTGGGAGTGGGTTCCACCCTGATGCCATAATGTGTTTGTCAGCCTGTATGACCCTCAGGATTAAGCTAGAGAGAAGTAAAAATGTGAACCCCGATTGGGGCCCCATCAGCTGACCAACTGTGGACCTCCTAAATATCTACCTTGCAAGTTCTAATGTCTGGTGTTTGGAGTAAGAGACAGTACAGATAAGTCCCTGACCCTGAAGGAATAAAAGAAATGAGAATCTTGTCTTTATGGACAGGATGTCCGTGGTCACTTCTGGGCAGCAGCTCTCCCCATCTGTTAATGTCAGCTCCCACTGCACTGCCAGGGCAGCTCTGTTTCCACGGGACTGAAGTACCTGCAGGCTTATTTATTCTTCAGCCCCGAAATGACCATATGCAGTCTTTAGAGACCACCTTGAGTAGTCCACTAAAGTCCAATGTGAAGAGAAAACATGGAGGTCAAGAGTTCCAAAGCCAGATGGCTAGTCTAATAAGGCCACATGCCACCAAGGGCAGAGCACTTACCTCTCCTGCAGCCATCTGTGCATGTAATCTGTCCCCTTCGCCTGTACTCATGTCTGCTCTTCTCCTCTACCTGCAGTTGTGTCTTCTCTTGTTTTAACAGGTGAGCGTGATCCTAACTCTGATGGTACCATATTATGCCATTGACACTGAATCCCCACTTATGGAGATGTTTGTTGCTCATGGCTTCTATGCTGCAAAATTCGTAGTGGCCATTGGGTCAGTTGCAGGATTGACAGTCAGCTTGCTTGGCTCCCTCTTCCCAATGCCAAGGGTCATTTATGCCATGGCCGGTGATGGGCTGCTTTTCAGGTAAGAGAAGTGAGTTCCACTCTACTGCACCTATCAAGGATGATTGTCTCCCCCTTCAGTCTAGTACTAATTTTGATGAGTGCCTTTCACATCAATTGCAGAGCTTGTCATACATCCTAGGAAAGTTTGAGCGAAAAGAGCCACGCCCTGAAATAGCCCCTCGTCTTGCCTCTGGGTCCCACAATCCAATACCAACTGATGTGTTCCTTCCATTGCCCTTCTTCCTCCTGTAGCATTATGTTTTGCTTGAAAATGGTGGGTGCCAAATTTTTGCACAGGGGAAGAAGAAAAAATCTGTTGCAGGGGTATTTTATGCCTCCAATCCCATGAGCCCTGGTACCTGCCCGACTCTCCACAGCACCTCTGAAGTTGAAAAGAAAATAATAGTCAGAAAGAGAAAAGACCCTTTGAATGGAATGAAGTAATTATAGCAACAATGGCTACCATTTATTGAACATTTGTGTATCCTGGATGCTTTGTGTACAGTATCCCATTTAGTCCTCACAATAACTCTATTTTGCAATGAGTATATCAGAAATTAGAGTGGTAAAAATATCTTGCCCTATGTTCTTCAACTGCTGAATGACAGGCCAGGGTTTGAAACCAAAGCTATCTAACTTCAAAACAGACTTTTAACCATCCCAGTATATGGACAGTTCTAACACCCTACCATTGGCCACGCCAGTATCAGGGTGAACAGCTGTTACATCTCCACCACCGCAGACCTTTCTTGATCACCTCACCTGGTCGCTTGCCCATAAGTGGGATGTGGCCCCACCTCTTGGTTCCCAGTACGTTCCCTGGAAAACAAAGGAACTCGCAAGGGTACAGAGGGAGCTGGAGCAGAGACATAACCCTGGCATCAGCTGCCAGCATCTCCTTCGTTTCCTTTGCACAGCCCTTGCAGTCTTCACCAGGTCCAAGCTGCCGCATCTGTGCTGCTGAACACATCCAGAAAGCGGTACAGTGTCAGAAGTGTGACAGCTTCACACATCCAAAGGTTTCTCTGCTGTCAAAAAAAAAAAAACACAAAGAGGAAAGATGCTGAGGCTTCAAGCAAATTTACAGTTCTTTGTGAGTCACAGAAATGCAGGAAGGAGGGATGAAAGAGGATGGCGGTGGAGCAGGAGAGGAAGGAAGGACGGAGGCGTCAGGAATAGCTAAATGTCTGCAACTTAATCACATTTGTTCATCTTTTCTTCCTCAGATGGTAAAGAGATGACTTTAAACTTATACTTTTAACTTGATATGCACTGTAGCATGGCAGTTTTTGGAAGCTCTGGAGACATTTTAATGCTGGGCACCACTCCCAGAGGTCCTGATGTAGTAGATCCCAGATTCACAGGTTCAAAGGGTCCCGAGCAGACCATGACTTCCTCCCATCATCCCTTTTCACAGCGAGGGTTGGACCCCAACTTAGATCTCTAATAGATCTCCTCGAGCCACGCCACTCCTCCTATCACATAATGAGTAGGAATTTTAATAAGGAAGCTTGCCCTAAAGCAGGGAATGTAAGTGAATCATAAATTATATTCTAGGAGCCAAACTCTGGGGTAGGAATAGCAGCCAGTTAAAGCAGTGTGCCAAGATAAATTGGAGGGACAGGAACAGAAAGCGCTAAATACACCAACCTATCGACACTTGGTCACCTACCTGGGCCATCTTAGAATCGGTCACCATCCATGACACTCCACTAACTCTCTACTTACACCGCCCTCCAGGTTCCTGGCTCACGTAAGCTCCTACACAGAGACTCCCGTGGTGGCCTGCATCGTGTCAGGCTTCCTGGCTTCTCTCCTCTCACTGTTGGTTAGCCTGAGAGACCTGATAGAGATGATGTCCATCGGCACACTCCTGGCCTACACCTTGGTCTCTGTCTGCGTCCTGCTTCTTCGATACCAACCTGAGAGTGACATTGATGGTTTTGTCAAGTTCCTGTCTCAGGAGCACACCAAGAAGAAGGAAGGCATTCTAGCTGACTGTGAGAAGGAAGCTTGTTCTCCTGTGAGTGAAGGGGAAGAGTTTTCTGGCCCCGCCACCAACACTTGTGGGGCCAAGAACCTGCCATCCTTGGGGGACAATGAGATGCTCATCGGGAAATCTGACAAGTCGACCTACAATGTCAACCACCCCAACTACGGCACGGTGGACATGACCACGGGCATAGAAGCGGATGAATCTGAGAACATTTATCTCATCAAGTTGAAGAAGCTGATTGGGCCCCGTTACTACACCATGAGAATCCGGCTAGGCCTTCCAAGCAAAATGGACCGGCCCACAGCAGCAACAGGGCACACAGTGACCATCTGCGTGATGCTGCTCTTCATCCTCATGTTCATCTTCTGCTCCTTCATCATCTTCGGTTCTGACTACATCTCAGGGCAGAGCTGGTGGGCCATCCTTTTGGTTGTTCTAATGGTGCTGCTGATTAGCATCCTGGTGTTTGTGATTCTGCAGCAACCAGAGAACCCCAAGAAGCTGCCCTACATGGCCCCCTGCCTCCCCTTTGTGCCTGCCTTTGCCATGCTGGTGAATATCTATCTCATGCTAAAGCTCTCCACCATCACATGGATCCGGTTTGCAGTCTGGTGCTTTGTGGGTAAGCAACTTCCTTTTGGGCCCTTAAAAGCCTCTGTGTCTCTCCCTCTCTCCTCTCCCTCTTCCTGTCTCCTCCCCATCCACCTCTCCCTCCCTTGTCCCCCCTCCCCCCGGGCCTGGGAATGGAACCCTGGGCATTTTGCCACTGAGATACATCCCTGGTCCTTTTTGTTTTTATTTTGAAACAAAGTCTCACTAAGTTGCTAGGTTGGGCCCAAATTTGCAATCCTTCTGCCTTAGCTCCAGGTAGCTGGGATATAGGTGTATACCACTGTATTCAGCTGAACAAAATTATCCAAACATTTACTTCTAATTACCCTATACATCTCCATTCTTAAGAAAATTACTGGCTCTATGGACCTTTCTTTGCATTAGAATCAATGAAGTCAGTTGTCCCCTTTCTGCTTGTTATGTCCTTGGCCATTGATTCTGATAGAGTGATGTTGATAAAATCCATCATTTTACTGAATACTACATTATTGAAATTTCTTCTTCTTAGAAAAGCCCATCTAAAGTGTATGCACATATTAAAAAGAAACATAAATATATTGTTCAGATAAAGAGTGGAATTCTGTCCTGGAAACTAAAAACTGTGAAACAATTCATTTATCTCATATAAATGATAAAACTTCAAAGGTCATCATGCTCTAATTTTTAGATGAGCAGGGTATGAATTGTGGGTTTTTCTGACAACTGTATCACAGCCTTGTTCAGTTTCCCCTTAGCGCATACTGACTTTTATAAAGCATCCAAGGGTTTTGCACTTTTTCCCCAGGTCCTCTCTTCGCTCTCTGGTATCCAATCTTCCTCTTGGAAAATCCCATCATACTATCACTCCTGCTAATTTTCTCTACTCTGCTCGTATTAACTGTGTGGCTTCCTGATCCTCAGTGGTTTATAATTTTCTGTGTGGGATCCAGATTGTTGTCTGAACTCGCTCGTGTTGATTTCAAGAAGCCCTGTATCTTTTCCAAGATTTATAATTTAACTTTGTGATCAATTTATATTATATTTGCATCACTCGTTTACCATCTCTGACCATCACTGATGTTTATGAGATGGCTGGGCATTGACACAGTGATAACTTGAAATCAATGTCTAAGCCACAACTAACTTTAAAGTTCCCAAGTCACTATTTTTCGTTTGCTTGTTTGTTTGTTTGTTTGTTTGTTTGTTTTTGAGATAAGGTCTCACTATGCAGTTCAAACTGGCCTTGAACTCACTGTGTAGCCCAGGCTGGCCTCAAGCTTGCAGCCATCCTCCTGCCTCAGCCTCCTAAATGCTGAGATTACAGGCATGCACCACCGTCCCCAGGCCTAGACCATTAGTTTTATGTCCCTTACACAATTTGGTAATCCCAGGATCTCTGATAAGAATTACTTAGCTAAGGAGGACCCCTAAGTAATTTGAGAAGTAGGCTAGTAATGGATTAAGTATCCCCTGCCTAAAGGAGAGGAAAGACAACTACTCATGACTCAACTGGCCTGAGCAAGAGGACAGAGACTTGATGAGCAGTCTATCCACCACTTGAGACCAGAGAAGTGGGTGTTCAGGGTGTGTTCTCTATGCCTATGCTATGCGCTCAAGAATCACTTCTTAAATGTGATGAAATATTTTTAAAAGGAGAAAAAAGAAATGCAGTCAAACAACCAGAAAGACCTCCAAGGATGTAGAATCTGGATGGGGCCTTTAAGGTAAGATCTAGATGGAGGAAAGCAGAAAAATACATCACAGTCTAGGAAACACAGTGTTCCCAGCAGATTTCTTGCCTCTGTGGGTCACTCTTGCCTTTCTGTCAACATCATGTCCCAATCCTCCACCATTGTGTCATCTTTTGTTAGACTTTAGGGAGGTTTTTTGGGAGGACTTCATTAACTCTGAGATTTTCACCATTTATACAATTTATTCACGGTCTCTCATGCCAATTGAAACACTTTTCCATGGTTGACACCATTGGAAAGATTCTATTCTGGGCAGAAGTGGCTGGAGCAGGTAGAAATATTTTAGTCATGAGCTTGTGAAGAGAATGAAGCTATAAACACCAATACACATGGACTGATTGGTTATTCAAAGGATTAAAGCTGGAGGGGCTTTCACATCTATTACAGTGTCTCTCCTGGCATGGTGTCCATTCCACTAGTAATATTCCAGATGGATTTAAAGAAAATTTGAATGAACTTTCTAGAATACTTTACAGTCATACATTTTCAAATGTAGTAGAAAAATTGTATGTATTCATGTATTTTTATATATACACATATGAATCTGGTGATTTCACAAAAATTTGTGCTCAGGAAGAAACTATAAATTTTTTTTCATTTACAAAGTGAGTAGTTTTTTAAAATATCTCTACAGGTGCCACATGATTCATAATAACAGCTAACACTAAAGTAGCACCTATACCAGCCATCATTCTGAGGGGTTTATTTCATTTATTTAATCCTCACAACAATCTCCACTTTAATGATAAAGAAACTGAGGTACTTGCCCAAGGACAGGCGGCCAGAATCTAGCAGTCAAGATTAGAACTTGGGATGCAGAGGGGGGCAGAGTCAATGGCCAATACATTAAAAAGATAGCATAAAAATAAGGAGAATTGGGGGGACATGAATGTGCTCAGCCAGCTCCCCACCCGTCCGCCTCTTGATTTCACAGAGGCATAAATGGAAGCTCCAAAAAGATGATATGTGATGGTCACAAGACTTCATCTGAAGGGCTGTTACTAGAATCCAGTAGGCCTGCGATCACCAAGTTCAAATCACAGCTCTGCTATACCTTGTCTTGTGACTTTGGGAAATACATCTAACTTCTTGGAGCCTCTATTTACTTATCTGTAAAACTGCAGATTGTTCTATCATCCTAGAACTGACTTTTGGAGGCGCTCCAATGAGAAAATGTTAGGAAAGCAACAGAAACGTTCCCTCACTTTCTTTTAAAATCTCAAATGTTTCATTGTTCACCAATGTGATCAGACTAGCTGTCACATGTTAGAACACAATGTGGACCCGTGCAGACTCCCACTGACCTTCTATCAGGCAGGAAAAAACTCCCTGCGTGCCTTTCGTAATCTTGCAGATAGCACAGACTCCAACCTCTCCCAGAAGCTGCTCTCCACTGACGCAGGCGGATGTCACCCTGCAGAGTTGGCTGGCTAGACACTGGGACAGGCACCTGTAGTTCAATGCATGCCCAGCTGATCATGATGGGCAGCCCACCAGCCACATTTGGAAAAGATTTCTAGTATTTCTGGACAACTGCTGCAAACTGCTTTGATAACATGATTTTTGAAGGCATCCATATGACAAAACTCAACCCAGAATAGAGATTATCGATCTGGCCGCACATCACTAATACTCTGGGTTTCTTCTGAAACATTCTAAGCCCAAACTGTCCTTCCCACCCCAGACATACAGAGATTTTTCTGCTTCAATTGGCCTTGTGTGGTCAAATGTTGGGTACTTTTAGAGACCCTCCAAGTAATTCAGCCAGGTTTACAACAGTTCTCAAAGTGTTGTCCCAGGCCAGTGGCATCAATATCCCTGGAGAGTTAGTTAAGAAGTGCAATTTTGGACTCCCTCCCAGACATGCAAACTCAGAATCTCTGAGGACAATTTAAGGCAATGGTGACAAACCCACAGCATGTGTATTATTGTGTTTTTCTTTTAGGACAAAAGATGTTAATATGTAAACTGTGTTTTTCTAAACGAAAACTTCAGTATTCAGGTTTAATTACAGTACTGGCATTTTGTGATAAGTAGATTTTGGGTTGCAGTTTGGCACTTAGGATTCACCATCACTGACTTAAGGCATAACAAGCTTTCCAAATGATTCTAATGCATGCCAAAAGATGAGAGTCACTGCTTTAGAGATCAGAAGAAGAAATCAAGCAGGGCAGATAATTTAATCACAATAACTATTTTATAAAATCAAATTTTTGCATGTAAAAATATATCCATTAGACACTTCAAATTGGCTTATAAAATCTTTAATGATCTTTTAGAATAAATATCCCACTTTTAAACTTCTAAGCTTGCATAACATCAGATCTTTCTTTTTAATCTTTCTATGCATGGTAGAACTTTCTTGGGAAGAACAGTAAAGATAATTTTAAATGGAGCTTCTTATGAAACAAGATTTAAAAGATTTCCTTGGTTAGGCTGAGCCATAACTTGATAATCATCTTAGACACATTTTTATCCAGTGTCATCTAAATGAGTCTTAATTACAGCATTTTATAACAATATATTGCTAAGCTTTTGACCTTCAGAAGAACATAACTTGGAGTGAATCATGATCTCCGACAAGCTCGCCCAACACATGTTTCTTTTCCTTGAGACAATTTAAATAATACACAGTGAACGTTATTAATCCCAACAAAGTGAGCACAAAGCAGCCTTCGTTTTCCTTTTTTCTTAGCTAGTGAGGATTTGCAAAGGACTCCTCAAGGCGCTGGGCAGAGTCTCGGCGAATAGAAGCTAGCAGGGACCCAGAGAGAACTGTACCCTTCTCTCAGACCAACCCTCCCTGTGGGCCTTCATCATGAAATAACCATCTAGTGGCCTAGCTCGTGGGCACCCTTGCCCTGAGAGCTGCCACGTTTCCAGCTGGAGGTTTTCCAGTCTCTCTGAGGAAAGCAAATTCTTGTCTATAGATATGGAGCGCACTCCAGACTTGTGTGTGATTCAGAAGCCTACACCAAAACATAAATATCTTAAAGAGAATACAAGTCCTTATGACCTTTTTGATCTATCATCTGAAATCCTTCTGGAAATGACCAGAAATAGCCACCGTGAGGAATACAAGAAGAAGGAAGGAGAAAGTCCACGAATTGGGACTTGAAAGAGCGCCAAAGTCATGACAATATTTCTCATACGTAAGTCTGAAATTCTTCTTGGTGGCAGAAGGTAAAATGGTTGGCACTTTCAGCATCAAAATCATGATCAGAAGAACAAGAATAACAAGGACGGCCAGACTGAGGGTGGAGTCCAAGGAGGGAGTGCA